AATAAAGTAAACAGGACATACCAAAAAAACAGAAAATTAAATAAAATTAAAGGTAAAAAAAAACACAATCATTCTGAACACTCTACATGTGCTTATCCACGTTGAATACAGAGTATTTTTTTCCATTGCAGAAAATATACACACATATATGTCCCGTTCCTCAGTGAAGTTTTATTTTTACCGTATATTCCCTAACCTAAGATGGAATTAATAGAAGTGGTAAAGAGCTAAACAGGGATACTGAAAACAATTTTGCCCTCAGTATAGACAGAGCTGCAGACAATGCTAACGTATGTTGATTTTCCATTCCAGTTATCTGGATGTCACAAGTGTTCATTAAATGTGAAATCTCTTCTCATATTAAAAAAATACTGGCTTTAAACCTATGGTTTCAGGCTTCTTATGAAACATCTTTCAACTTTACTTGACTCTATGTAGGACTCTTTCATTAACATATTGTAAGCATATTGAGCAATCACTAAGGGTTGTGTTCCTTTAGGAGAAAATTCTCTAACTTGTGTAAACTTAATTTCTTCGAAAAATATTTCTTTGAATATCTTTGCTAGACACAGAAAATGACTGTTTATTTATTAATGGTGTACTCAATAAATACTTTCCCTAGTTGTCTTGGACTTACCGGTGTGTTCGGACTCTGAAGTGTGTTATTTGGAACTTGAATATCTTAAATACCAAGAAAAATTAATTTTCATCCAGCTGTTCAAGGCATTGCTGTCATTTACAACAGATACTTGTAATCAGAGCGGACATTTTATTGACTTTTGGTTCCTGCTTTTTGCCAAGTTCTTACAGTATATACTGTAAAATTTTTGCAGACCTACCAAAAAAATCAAAATAAGTTTTTCTCAGTATTGGCATTCTAGACCAACTAAGTCTCAATTTCCACAAAAATTGTTAACTTCAAATAGGTCCTAAATAGTCATAGATTTAATGCCACCATGGCTGAAGAGCTGACATTGCAGAAAATGAGTTGTAGTAGTTAGTTTTTAA